TGCTTTTGTGAAGGGAAAAAACTGCCAAGTCAACTACAGGATCTCCTTTGCTTAGCTGCTGCACAACATCTCTCCGTGCTCAGTTGCAAACTAGGATCCCTTGGGCTTGAATATGATACAGGCTGTCTATAGCTCGTCAGCTCTACTCTGAATAGAATGGAGAGGTCTAAAGCTTAATACTGTAACCCGGGTGGTACTCCAAGATGTACCCCCTCTCCAATTGAAGGGATCAAAGCAGGTGCACAAGCACTGTGGGAGGTGTAGGGACACTCCTTCCCCTATAGAGCAGAGCCAGATCACCAATGGGGACTTAACCATATACCTTTTAATGAGAAAAACATAACGTGTGGGAACATAACATGTATAAACCACGGGGTATAGGGAACACTACTATGCCCCAAGGGGGCGGGATTCAATAAAGGTTAGGCATTTACATTCGTAGACATATTCATCCAGTTGACAAAAGACAGGTTTAATGAAAAACAAAACACAAACAGCACAACAAACAATACTGGTTGGCAAAATATAAAATGCACAAAATACAAAACATCAAACAACAGAGCCTAGGTACCTGGAGCGGGGATGATCCCCTTCCACTGCAACAAGAATTTCTCCCTGGCAGTTCACTCACCCCACCTGGGACTCCCACATGGCAAGCAGAAACTCTACCACACAGCCACCAGTGCTAGTACTACTTTAAGCTGTTAAGGGTTTTGACCTTCTGGGAGCCCCCTGCCTCATGTTGAGCTTTCTGGCCTCTTGCTGGAGGAGCTGGAAACCTCTCAGGTCACTGCTCAGCTTCTTGCTGGAGCTGGGGAACCTCTCCTGCTTGCTGCAGCCTCTCCTAGGGGGATCCTGAAGCCCAGCAGGGAGCCTCTCCTGCCAGCCACACGCTGTGCTGCTGAGGCTCCAACTGCTGCCTGCAGGTCCCACTCCTTCAGGTTCTTCTGGGGCAACTGCTCCCGCCCCGCTGACCCAGCTCTTGCCAGCTCTTTGAAACTCCTTCCTCATAGTCCCTCGGTGGTCTCCTTTAAGTCAGCTGCGCTGCCTCTTTTATCCCCATCCAGATGACCCAAGGGGCCAATCAGGGGACATGAAAGGTGAGTCTCTGGGGCCTGATTTGTGAGGAAAGGGAATCCCAAACCCTCCAACCATCTTTTACCCTTTCAAAACCCCTGGGCCAAATCATTACCAGCTAGCCTGTAACAATACTTATATCAAGAAAAAATCCAGAGAGAGGGTTATTGGAAAAGAAAAGCTCCTAGTAACCACTGTCTTCACAACACTGAGCCAAAATTTCCACCTGTGTGTCTAGAAAGTGAACTGTTAAAAGAGAATGCATCTCTCTATGCATATGCAAAACTTCAAGTTGAGCATACAGGTTTGGTAACTGCACATACAAAAAAAGGCTGCTGGATGCACAGAACTTAATTCTGTTCTGTTGAAATTAACATTAAAACTTGATCAGGTCTATAACTACATGATTTGCACTCTCACATCTGGGTTCTCCTGCATCCAGCCAGCATGGACACATACCTGCCATTCATTTACTGTGCTCATATGTGACGATTTGACAGTAGCTACACCCACCTGAGTTAGTAGGAGCAGCTGAAATGTTGGACTTGAACAGGAAATACAGGATGGGATTTTTCACAGGACATTAAAGCAACCAAACTCTACTGATAATCATGGGATCTGGGTATCTAGCTTCTAGACCCCTTGGAAAATCTCAGCCCAAATCTTTAATAAAATGAAAGTTGTTTCCAATCTGCCTCACATGGCTTCAAGGCTCTCTCTTTACTGTGGTGACAAGTCTCCTGAAAGGACGTTTTTATTTAAAGAGGCCCGTCTCTATGCAAACACGTACGCACACAGATGCACAGACATACACGCTTAAGCGCACACTCCCTAAAACTGTATTATAACATCTCTTATTCCTCCCATCTCGCATGAAGGCTCACATAACCTACCAGAGGGGAGCCAGCATTTCAGGAAAAAATTCCTAGAGAATCCAAAACACTCTGAAGACACAAGCACATCTGGTCCTGCTTATATCCATCTCATTTTCCAAAAAATTCTGACTGTCTTCGTTTCTTTCTGGTACCATTCAGGGCTTGAGAAGCCAGATGCATCTGGCACAGCAAGCTAGTGTTGGCAGATAACTAGACAGCCTGTTACTCCTCACTGGATTGCTACCTACAACTTTAGAGTTAGCCCATAAATTTTTTAAAGAAAAAGTGTCAGTTTGCCAACACTGGTTCTCACACCAAATAGAAGGCAGCATATCTCCCTTGTTATGATCAGGCCTCTACATTGCAAACTTCTCTTCCTGGTGCAGACAGAATACAAGAAAGGCCACTCTTAGAATGAACATCATGCTTCTGAAACAAAAAGATCACCTGTGTTACAAATAGCACCTCACATTTCTAGCTCAAAGCAATATAACTGGAACAATCTGATCACCTGTCCTTTAGTCTCTAGTCAGTTTCATTTTCAGGTTGTGATGTTTTACCAGAGCTGCAGCAGCAAGCTCACAATAATGCAAACAAAGCAAACAACTGCTTATTTTTAAATTACTTTAAAATATTTATTTTCAATACTAAGATTTGGTAGCTAGAAGGGATGGCCTAGTAAATGCAGATTTCTAGAATCAATTAACTAAAGGAACAGGTGCATATAAAAGGAAATAAAAGAGAGGAGGGCATGGGATTAAAATACTTCTCCAATGTGAAACTTCCACCATAGGCCTGAACCTTAAACCTGTAACAAGTTCTACTTCTTCCCTTCACATTTTTGCATCCTTTTTCCTCACTGTCCCTTATCCCTTACACACAGGTTATTCTGAATCTGCTGCCTTTCCTGTACCTTCATATAACTTCCTGTTAGGAGTTTGTCACCTGATCCCTTCAGGAACTAAGCAAACTACACCTGTCCCTTCTCCCCAGAATCCTGATAAAGATAATTCAGCAAATCCACTTATCTAGACTTTCCATGTTACTAGATTTACTACTACAACCTTCCATACTGTCTGAGATGCCAAGCCCACTTCCTAGTACTACTGTCTATTTAAAGATGGTATAGAGAATAAAATTAACTACATCCTTCAGCTTTGGCACCTCATTTCTATATATTCCTTAATCTACGAATAGTCTAGCTCTTCTGTTCACAACATGAAATCAAAATCCATGCAACGTCTGCTAACAAGACTCTTGCAACACATTCAAACACTACTCCATTATACGTTTGGGGTAGCAAGCTAAAATGAGTAGAAAATTCATATTTTAAAACACTACCCTTAAAGAACAAGGAAAAGTAAGAACAAGAAGGAAAAGAAAAACACTCCCAATGCAAAATGACTTAAGTATAAAGAGTTCTTCTGATCACTGTCATATTCTACAGAAGTATGTTCATTTGATCTGATCTTTCACAGAACTAAATTTGCTAAGAAGTACTGAGTTAAATCATTACAAGTGAGGAATCTGTGGGGGCACTGCCACAGTTTTATACACAGAAAAGTAATTTTAATGTAAATCCCAGTTAACTATGGGAGGAAATAATGACGTATCCTTCAAATACTAATTGTAAAGCCTTTCTAGCTGGTACAGCAGCTCATTGTGAAATTCATGGCAATGCTGGCAAGAATACACTGCTTAAGTGTCATCGGTGTACAGCCTGCCACTGCTATTACTGCCAATCCTGGCCATAATGAACAACCAAGACTAAACAGCAGAGGGTGAAACCTGAAAATGGCTCAAGTTGTATAGAGTTGCAAACTGATTTCTCACAGAATTCAACCTAATGCTGCTGATGATATGTGGATTCAACCCCTGTAATGCATCTAAAACTGGAAAGACAAACAAAGGAGTCAGAGTGGGCCCAGTCATGCTCCCATTCAGGTAAAAGGCAAGATGTTCATAATGGTTTCCCCTGGAAGCAAGATCAGACTCACTTTTTCCAAGAACTGGGTAACCAGACTAATTATCCCATACCTTATTATACTATGACAGCTAAGAGGAGGAGGAAGAGAGAGAATCTCCAATTCACTTGTTAAGAGTTTTTGCTGTCCTTGGATACAAAAATGCATTTGAAACCAGCAGAACACTTTACATTTTTATTTTGGTCCCACATGTAAAGTGCTCTCCCTCTTATCTGAAAGGTACAAGCATTCCTTGCAGCAATGGTCTGGACAGCTTCCTCACCCTGAGACTTAAAGCATAGTATATTTATGGCCTGGTTTTCAGAACTCATAAACCATCCTGGAATCAAAAGAAGCTTCAAGCATTTTTGGGGGGGAAAGGGGGGGAAACAAAATCAAACCATTAAAGACTAATCCTACTTTTCTCCTTCATCAGTGAAGGTTAAGGGCACTCAGCATTCCAGATCAGACACCCTGAATGCCATGACCCACCCCCAACCAGAGCCTTTCTACTGTATGTACATTACGCATATTTTATGAATGACATAATATGAGGAAATTGTCACTGCGCCTCTATACTCTGTCCTGCTAATCGTCTCTGCCAGTTCATTAATTTGGACATCGCCAGTGCCGTGCTCCCTCTGACCAAACAGTTCCAGTCACTGAACATTTCTAAGACTTCATCCAACTTTGTGACAGAATAAAACTACTTTTCAATTTAAACAGGTTTAATGTTATTTTTAGAGAAACAAAGCTATTTCCTAAGACATTAAGCGGCAACCAACTATAAAATTAAACACAGGATGCTTTAAAAGTCACAACACTTCTATTACACCCTGCTTCAGCACTTTCGCCTAAAGCTGCTATGTAAGATTTTTTACATCTTAAGAAAACGTTTTAGGGTCATAATAACTTTCAGTTCTGTGATAAATGACCGTTAGGTAAAATACGTGACCACCAAAAACCAAAAAAAATAGCAAGCAAACCAAGGGAAGCAGTCCCTAAAGGTACGAACCCCGCAGCATAATGTTCTGTCAAAGGCGTTAAAAACTTCCAGATTGCAACTGCAGGACTACATACTTACCAAAGTAATCAGCCTTGGGACGAGCATCCATCTCCTGCTCCAGACGCTGGGTAAGTGCTTCTACTTTTAATTCAGCTGCAGATGGCCCTTGCTCCTGCTGTGGAAGGAGGGTTTGGCACGGTAATTTTACTTTTGTAGAACTGGAGTTTCCCTGATGCCCAGAGTCAGATGGCAGACTGTTTATGCCCTCTCTAAATGGAGATTTTGGAGCATCAGAAATCATTGGCCCATGTGAAGCTATGTCAGTGGAAGTGTGCTCAGGGCTTATGCCACAGCCAGTGGAAGTAAGCCTGTGATTTTGACCATGAACTATGAAATGGCCAGTGGAGCTGGGACAAGCACTGGCTTGCTGATAGTCCACACTTGGAGGCAACAGAGCAGAAGCTGAACTGGAAGAGAAGGATCTAGGATGGTCGTGGTACCATAACTGGTTGTTATCACTCGTTTTGTCTGAGATGCCCGAGGCTGGCATCTCCGCTCTGGCATTTGTGTTGTACGGATCAGAACAAGCTGAAAGACCCTGAGCAGGCAATTTTGATGGGACTGAAAAAGAGGAAGATCTCTGCTGTGGCAGTCCTGCTCTGACCTGGTCCTCAAACCCTGTGGAGGAGGACAAGGCTGTTGGAGTGTGAGAGAAAGAGGAAGACCTCTGACTAGCTGGCTTTTGATCATAGCCTTGACTGAGTCTGTTGCCTTCACTCCCATTTTCTGGGCTCCCGTACCCGCTCTCAGAAGACCGGCAGGAGCCTAGGGACTGCTGATGCTGATAAAGGTGAGGATCAGCTTGGGGCTTTGTGGGGCTCCTCGGTAACTGATCGCTGCGATTAACATTTGACTGCGTATTCCCCATACCAGACCTCGGCATGGACACCTTGTCAGGGTCTCCTCCCCAACCCCGCAGACCTGTTTGGCCCTCGTCGTTGCAATACTCTCCATGAGAAAGAGAAGGGAAAGACGGTCTGGCAGCACCAGGATTCGCCGCTCGGTGAAACCCGTATCCTCCAGAGAGCTCAGAATTGCCCAGCCCCTCGCTACAGCCATATTCACCACTGGCTCTTTTGCCGTCGTGGCCTAACCTGGTACGCTGTCCCTCGGGAAGCATCTGTGGCTGACTGGGAAAAGCCAGCTGATGGGCCGCACACATGGATGCGGCCAGTGAAGTGGCCAGGGGCGGCTTGGCCATATGGTCTCCCCCGTGCGATTTGCCAGGAGCAACCCGGTGGACAGGGATGCCAGGAGGCTGGTGCTGGGCGCCAAACCCAATGCCACCGTTGAGCGAGCCGGAGGCAGCGGCGAGGAGCTCCTCTTGCTGCTGTCGCTGTAGGTGGATTTTGGCCATTTTGGTGGCGAACACCCGGCGGGTCTCCTCGAACTCGGGGTTGTTGCCCAGGCCCTTGTCCACCCGAAACAGCCCGTCCTTGGAGGCCTCGTACATGTTGAGGTCTTCGATGAATTTGCTGGCCTCCAGGCCCAGGTCGTCGTACTTCTCCATGCCGCCGAGCCCCTAGTCCCCGGGCCCACGGAGGCAGGCGCTGGGCGAGGGCCCCGGGGGAAAAAAGCG